AAATTAAATTGTGAACACTATGGTTCGTACAAAATATGGAAAAATAAAGACTGTGGTACATAGCAATTGATCAAATTATAAAATGTCTAATTCTATGTCATCATAGCATGTCCAATATAAAAATGTGCGATTTAATCTGAAAATTGGACAATAAAAATAATAAAATTGATGTCAAAGAAAATCAACAGCCAAAAGATAGCATTTTCACCTTTGTATAATATTATTAATTACAAGTTAATAAAAAGGAAAATAACTCAAAATGTAATTAACACAACCCATAGACACCAATAAAGATTTGTATACTATTAAATGAAAATCACAACAGTAGCCCAGATAATATTTCGAATAAAAAACGTAAATTTAAAAACAAAAGATGAACTTAAAAACCCTAAAAATGTTATACCTGTGTGAGTTTATGAGTGAGAAAGAAAAATACAAAAGGAACAAAAAAGACAAATTGTACTCACAGATCATGTAAATATAGAAAATGGGATGATAACTAATCACGGGTTTGGCTTTATGATTAAATGAAACTCTGAATCAAACCCACGAGTTTGAATGTAGATATGCAAAGACAAAAAAAAATGACAAAGAGAACAGAAAGGATGGTATTCGTATCAAGTTAGAATCTAGGAAAAGGAGGAAGCTCACCCACCAAATCCATACTCATCTGTATGTCTAGAAAGAAAGAGGGAAGGGAATTGAAATTAAACGTGAGTGTTTCAATGAATGATGGCACGGGATTGTAGTTTTGTGGACTTCGTCGGGGGTCGAGAGTAGAACGACGGTCGGCAACGACGCTGTGGTGAACAATTGAAATGAGAGAAATGAGAGACACGGTGAGCGAGTTAGGGTAAATGGGAATGGGAGATTAGATAGTGATTTTTGAGTTTTGGTACCTTTTTTTCAAATTTTTTTTTAAAATTGAACTGACACACTGCCATTTTGGATCAATTTTTTGCAGTTGTCAAATCTCATTTAATTAGGACATGCAAAGTATTTGAAATTATTTAGAGAGACAAATATGTCTAAAATTGACATTCTTGTAATGCCCAAAAAAAGTGACACTTTTGTAAATGTTAAGGGAAAATTTGACATCCTCTGCAATTTCCTATTACAACTATAAAATCAAATTTGAAAAAATTATACAACTGATTTGCAATAATTTTAATTCTCTCTTGTTTTGTTATATTAATTTGCAAGTTCGAGATTTACTTATTTGTTAAGATTTCGTATGTTTTCAAAATTATGATATTGGTTTAAAAAATGATATAATATTCCATTTTTAATTAAAAAGTCACACATAATCAATTTATAAGACAATTAAACAAAGTCAAACATATGCTAATTGTCACATGAATTAAACTAAGCAGAAATTACATGCATCCCTGATTTTAAAATTCTCAATTCAAAAACCAGGTGTAAAGATTTTTGTATTCAAAAATCAAATGATAATTCATTTTTAAATATTAATAATATTATTATAAAATTTAATTAATTTACACATACACCTCACTCGTCCCATCAATCAAAACCCTAGTTCATTTCCAAAACTCTCTCTCTCCCCTCTCCCCACTATCCCTATTTTGACCCGTTGTGAGACCGTACCACCACACATGATCACTACGTGCAACAGTGGCATCTTGCAGCGACAGCAGCACCTATTGTGCAGTGTTATAGATCTCTGGTCACAAGTGGCCATTTTATTTATGGGCGGCGATGGACAAGTGGCGGGGCGCTGCATACCATGCCTAAGAAGAAACTAAGAAATTTTAAACCTTATTTTTTTAGTTGTTGGATCTGGTGGTAGTGGTGGTGATAGTGGTGTTGGTGTGGCCATGGCGGTGGCTGTGATAATTTTGAATTTAATTTTTTGGGGGTGTTTTGATGACGGCGGCGAATCTGCACAACTATAGTGAGAGTGGTGGATTTGGGGGGTTGGTGCGGTGATGATACAAGTGGTTGATGACAGTGAGGTATTGGTTTTGATTGTTGGAGTGATGGTGGTGGTAGCTTCCATATTTTTGTGGTGGCGGGACAGTCAACGATGGTGGTTGTGGTAGTGGTTGCAGTAGTGGTGGTGAGATGTTGGTGGCGATACGTTTGTCAGGATGGTGTGGATCTGGTGCAACGATGTGGTGGTGTTTCTTTGTCATATGTAGATTTGTTTGAGGTGGTAGTGTTGCTGCTATTAGAGGCAGTAATAAGGCGGTGGTTGCAAGTGTTGGTGGTGGTTACAAACTATTTGGTTGATTACGACCATTAAATTGGTTAATCCGTGATCAATAAACAATATATGACCAATAAAAAAGATTAATTGTGACAAAAAAATAATACATGACCTAAAAAATAGTTAATTTGTGATCGATAAATAATCCATAAAATTTTTGAATTGTGACTATATAATAATTTGTGACATAAAAATTCTGATTTATGATCGAAAAATAGTATGTGACTAATTAAATCGTTAATTTGTGATCAAATTGTATAGATTTGTGATCTTAATATATTTAATTAATTAAATATATAATTAATTAGTTAAATCATAAATAAATTTTAATAAGTATCTAATTTTTGAAATTGAAACCTCTGTTCTTATTTTTGAAATGGATTATTCTTAACCTCTTATTTATGAACTATTCATTAAACTAAACATAGGTCTTATTTGATCTAGAAAAATATATTTTTAAACAGTGATTTGATATTATTTCAATCACACATTATTTCATAAAATAATGTTATACGTAAATTTAAAACTTTTTTTTATTTTTTAACCATATATTTTTTTATCAATACACTATTTAAAAATATATTTTTATAAAAATAATGTGGCTCAAACAAGATATAGACAAACATAATGTGCACAATTATTAGCACCAAGTTGAAAATCTTTATAAGAGAGAGATTAAAATACTGATGGCAGAAAGTACAACATATTTTTGTACAAAAGAAGGAATAAATTATTAGCAATGATTCGTTTTCGATACACGGGAATCTCGGCCCAAAAGGCCCAAAAGTGTACCCAGTATCTTTCATAGTTCAATGTACAACACTTTAACGTGCAATCTGTAACGGTGGTCTAGATTTACATGTGGTCTTGTACATTAATCTGATTGGATGGAGATTTCCTTCCAATTTTACCCAAGGACCAGATAGATAATTGCGCTATTAGTCTCCGACTTGTTATCCAATTAGCGAGTTAGTCTACATTTTAAACAAGGGCAAAATAGTCAGAAATGATAAAATGTCCTGCCTTGCCTTGAATGAGACGGGATTCCTGGTTTAGTTGGGGAATCGGGATGGGGCACAGGAACGTGATCCTGAACTCAAACCCACCCCTACTATTATTTTACGTTCTTAAATAAATTATACTTGAAAAAATAAAAATAAGTAAATGCATAAACGAATGCAGAAAATGATGGCATTCTAAGTCCTGCCTTGTCTACTAATATTCCCTATAGATAAAGGTTAGGGAGGGTTGCCTAACTCGACCCAACCCATTATCATCCCTTAGAAATAGTTTCGATCTCTCGTTATAGTTGCATGATTTAAATCTTTGTTAAAATATTATGAACTTCGCATATCTAACTTTATAAAAATAGATTTTATTTTTTTACTTTTGTCGGTGTTTAAAATTTGACGCAAAAGATGTATTCCATGAGGCCTAATCATGATTTAACTATTCACTTTTCGTATATAGAGATTGTTTGTGCAATTATAATTTGAAATTGAGAACGCACTTGCTTGTTCGAAGAATTTGGGGATCAACTTACTATTTGGGTAGTAGATTGAGGACGAATACTACAATTCAAGTTGGGCCAATAGAGGTTCTTAAAACCAGCAAAAGTGGAGAAATTGAAGGGCAAAACCAGGGAGGAAATTTAGCGAAGTCCAACCCCACGGCGCCACCTGTTTTTTAATATTCCATAGGCTGTCTCTCACCTTTTGTAGATTACGAACTCACAATAGTAAATCATTGCATTTTAGCATATTATTGCATCCATTAAGCTAAGACAACCAACATATTAAGCCTCCGTTTAACCCCGTTAAATTAAATTACATTATATTTTATTTTTCTCTATTCTATTTTCAACCACACAATCTTTCGTAAAATAATATTACACGTAAATCGAAAACTTTTCCTTCTTTTTCAATCACCAATTTTTCAAAAAAATACTATTCCCCTCCCATTTTCATTTTCAGAAAATAGGGGCCAAACGGAGGCTAGCAATAAAGAGAATATCATCGTAGGTCTTACGCTTTAGGATTTATGTTCCTACTATCTAAAAGGGTATTTGGTGGGGATTAAAATTAAATTTTTTAGTATATTGTGATATGAATTTTTGAAATGTGTAGTTAAAAAGTTGTGGGACCATAAAAGATGTGATCAATATTAATTGTTTGACTTTAAAATTAAATTAAAATCAAATTTTAACCCAAACTAAATAGACTCTAAATCTTATATAATTTATAACTTGTTTATTCCCCTCTGATTGATTGGTAACATTGATTAGTGGGAAACATTTATTCACTATTCAAATTGGAATTCATTTACAGCATATTTGGGAGTTATTTTGAGAATTAATTTTTTTACCGTTAGGAGAAAAGTGAAATTCACTTGTGAGAGAAAAAGTCAAATATGATAATTGAAATAGTGAAATAATGGTAAAAAATTCAATTTTTGGAGAAAAAATAACTCCCAAACGGGCTGTTATTAAAATGTTGATTTTTGTACCTAAACGAATTTACGAGATTCTTTTGATGATCTATTTTAATTTATATATTTAGACCTATAAATATCTTACTTATTTTGTAAGTATAAGTAAAAAGTTACTTATTTTGATGGAACGTTTGTTAAAATAAGTTACTCTAAAGTATAATCCATAAAAACTTTTATTTAATACATTTTAATTATTTGTGAGAAATTTGATAAAGTTTTGCTTTAAAAAGAAAATTAACAAAATAAAAGGAAAAGTAAAATCGCTATAAATATAGAAACATGGAAGTTCGAGAAGGCGTAGCCCTTTCTGGACGGTGGATTCATAAATTTCAACAGTACGACATTTTAATAACACGCGCAAATTCGTCTTGTTTCTCCATTTCATTTGATTTGAAAAGAAACAGCTAAGATTTGGATTTAGAGAGGGAGAGAAAATTCAATGGGGTCGCAGAATAATTATCAGATGAAGGTGGCCACTGGAGAGTTCGGATACGTACTGGAAGATGTCCCTCATTTGACTGATTACATCCCCGATCTTCCTGTAAGTATCTATTGATTTTTTTTTTTTTTATGTTTGTGTTTGTGATTTTGACTCCTGCATCAATTGTGTTTATCAAACGAGGTTGATTTTGTGAAATTTTGATTGAATAACGGAAAAAATGCAAGAGTCCAGAAGTGGGTGCGTGTGTTTGTGCAAGTGATTTTGATTTCCCGAGTCGACTGTGTAGTCTGTCTTGATAAAATGAATGATGAATTTAATTTTGTGGAATTTTTGTTGAATAATTGACAAATGGAAATTCCTTTATCCTACTTCGTTCTTTTGCTTCATAAATTCAGCAACTTTAGAGTTGCCTTTGATCCGAAACACACACACACACACACACACACACACACACACACACACACATATATATATATATATGTATCTATGTATAAACTGCTTGTGAAGGGATTATTCTAGAGTGGACACCGGAAATGGAGAGTGGTTTTTCTTTTTCTTTTTTTTTTTTTTGGCTTAATACCCATTTCCATTGTATTTATGAGCTTCTATTAACTTAGCTATTCGTTTTTTATGTTTGGTTTTTCGGCAGACTTATCCCAATCCATTACGATCGAATCCTGCATATTCCGTTGTCAAGTAAGTTATTTTTTCTCACAGCAAGCTGATAATGGTAGTCCTTGTGTCATTAGCCATCCGTTAATATTTTCAGAACTTAGAAGATTACAAATGACATATGATTTTTACTATGGTTTCAGGCAGTATTTTGTTCACATGGATGATTCTATCCCTCAAAAGGTTAGCTATAATTTTCAGCTTGTTCAATGTTACAGGTGTATAGGTCTCATTCATTATTTATTTTTTCCTTTTTTGGGGAGAAGGGGCTTCGCAGGACCGTACTTGCCTCGCTATGCTCTTCTTTCTTGATGCATGTGTATGTGGATGTAATCATGAATACGCATGAGTAAAAACCACATAATCTATGAGCTATTGTCACCTGAAATTGGCTTATGCAATGATTATATTACCACAGAAGAAAGCAAAGATGTCCATTCTGCATTAATTTTGAAAAACGAAAGACAGATAATTTTTCATTGGCACGTTTCTTAAATATTGCAGTATGAAACCATTTTCTTTGTGTATCTGAGTTCTAATTGATATTGCTCATCTATTAGAATGCGAGGCTATTGACTAGTGTATGCATGTGTTCTTACTCTTTAATTTGATAAGGCTAGCCTATGAGTCAGTGTCTAGAGTACTCCACGTTCTTGAAGTACGGGCAGTCATACTCCACACCACCATGTATTTCCATTTGGACATGGAAAAATCAGAACAAGTAATTCCATGTGCCTTATAAGGATCAACCATTTTCAAAGGTGTTTAACTCTGTTTATTGGTCTCTTTGCAGATTGTTGTCCACAAAGACACTCCTAGAGGGGTACACTTTCGAAGAGCCGGACCTCGTCAAAAGGTGTGTCCTCTTTTTCTTTAGTGCAGGATATTGACCGGTATGCAATATTACTGAACTATTTCCATATTGCACAGGTTTATTTTGCTTCAGATGACGTGCGAGCTTGTATTGTAACGTGTGGTGGTTTGTGTCCTGGGCTAAATACAGTGATCAGGGAGATTGTACATAGCCTTGATTATATGTATGGTGTTAACCAAGTTCTCGGAATTGATGTAAGTTGGAGGTGCATTCACTTTGAAGTTGATTAGTATTATCATCTGAGTTTTATGTTAGCAATTGGTAACAAAGACTAATAAAAACATTTGGCCTCCGCTCGGCATATTTATAAACTATTTATATATTGGTCGAACTTCATTTTCAATCATACATTCCAATATGTTCACAAGTATTATTCAATTATCCATCACTCATTTCTATCTATGTTAACAAATCCTCAAGGATATATTTGATGTGGCAAAAACGAATCAAATTTGATTCCAAGATTTTATAGTTGTAAATAGATTGATTTCTTTCCTAATTTA